GAAATCAGGCGTAACTGATACCACAATGAAAGAAAGCTTGCATTTGAANCTGAGCGGAGCTTGAAACCACAAATGAGGCCCATTTCGGAATTGAGTATTTGAAGAGTGAGAGAAAAATGAGGTTGGGTTCTTTAAATTACGTCATGAATAAAGTTTTACAAGCTGGTCTGTTATCGGTCAATTTTATGTGCATTACTTTTCACACCGTCGATGTTGCGGGAATAGCTCTGTCTAATTTATTAATTGACGAGGATGTTAAAGCTCAATTGCTATCTGCAGCAGAGGCGATAGCGATTGAAATATACCCCCCCTCCCCGTGGCCGTGTGTCCGAGGTACCCCCACCTACGCAAGGGTTTATCACCAATCATGCGGTTAGTGTTAGAACATCCATCTCCTAACTTCTGAACTCTCAATTTGCACATACTAAAAACCTCATTTGCCTGTCTCCTTGCCTTAGTTCCTGAGTTATATAATGTGCAGTAAGTCGTTAGTAGATAAAGCACTGAAAGCAACCTTATTCATCAAAACTTTGTTTTTCCAATAAATCTATCGGAATTATTTACTCATATTGCTTCTCGCTGTTCCCTTTTCCCACATACAGCTTCCTTGTTGAAAGCTGAGTTCGATTCATCATATGGTCCCAATTCGCGTAGCCGCTCTATATGAGTCTGTGACTAAGCGCGTATCGGTCTCGCCAGTCCTAGTTCGTAGAGTCAACTATATTTTGATTAGTTTCTAATACGCTAGTGAGCGTCATTCATACAAAGAGAATGAACTTCAGTGAACATTTATGAATATTTGTGTTTGCATAACTTGTGTGAGCTTATATGCTTACATCTCAGTTATGATAGATCGGTATTGTATCAAATGTCAAAATTTAACGGCATTATGGCAAATTAAAAACCAAACCAATTCTCATTTCTATTTTAGTGTTTGTTGTGGAATTTGTTGCTTGGGTCACATTAGTCGAGTTCCCGCAGATCAGGACAATAGATAATTATATTTAATATTTCATGACAATCTTCAGTAAAATATCGTTTTTAACTACAACACTTTCATCTCTTTGAGTTGGATATGTGAATACTTAAAATCAGTTATCAGGAGAACAGTTTCCAAACCAAGGGTTTATGTCCTGTACAATGAAGTTGGGTGGTGCTGGTGGCACTCGTGCAGGGTAGTGACATACGCCACGTGATTAGCGCCGAAATACAACACCAACACATCCTCAAAGGGGGAATAGATTTACTGCATGCGACATTGCAGTCAAATATCAAAACATTTTGCAATAGATGGACCTTGTTCCCTTCTATGCACTGAGGGAATAAGTACTGTCTGAGTTCACCTAAGATATCAAACCGGTGAGTTTGGTGATCATTGAAGGTTTCCACGTTCGTGTTAGTAAACAGCTTTACGATCGATATTTGGCAGTAACATTCACATGAACAGCCTCGGTGGACTTTGACATTTGGGTGGTTATGTTAGCTTTTGTCGTTAAAATGAGAGCAACTTTCTCATCACTGCTTCTCAAGCCATGGATAGTGGACTGTCTGCTTGCTGTTAACCTCGTTCACTCGCTCTTCCCCACCGCCGAAGAGAATCAAACGTCTACCAAAATGATACGACCC